CCACCACACCCCCTCACCCACAGTTTTTTTTTTTTTGTTGTTGTTGTTGTTTGTTTTTGGAAACGGGGTTTGATATATGATTCAGGCTGGCCTTGAACTCACTGTAGTCCAGGTTTTCCTCAAACATGGGGCGATCTTCCTGCCTCAGTCAGTCGTGCCTGGCCTGCCCCATCTTTTTCATTTGCTGCTTTTTAAAAAAAAGATACAGGGTCTGGTTCTGTTGCTCAGGCTGGCCTCAAATTTGAGATCCTCGTGCCTAGCCAAGACTAAGCACATGCCATCATGCCCGGCCAGTGTGAATTGTACTTGATACTGTTTATTTTTGCTGCCTTTGACAAATGGAATTTTTCTTGGTGTTTCTCTTCATGAGCTTTTTGTATATTTTAGTTACCATGGAAGACAATTGCTTTTCATTTTTAAATATAACCTCAAAGTGCATTTTACATATTTCATGTTTTATCTGACCATCCTAAACATCAAATTTGATGAAATTTCCTAACAGTTGCTTGATTCAGTAACAAATTTTGTATATAATCAGGATGAAATTCAAATCATTTTACTTTACAGTTGGCACTTCTGTTTCCTTGAGAAAGAATTGAAAAATCTTAAAGGTAGAATTAGAAGCCACCTAGGCACTAGCACTTTTGGGTTCTCGTGCCCTCATGCTAAGGTTGGTGGTGGCTGGGATTGTCATTTAGTTTTAGACATGAGAGGGGTAAGGGCTTCTGGAGAGTTACCTAGCATTGCACTTTTGACACTGGAAAAGTCACAGAATGTGACGTTGCTCTGAAACAGAGCATATAGATTCTCAACTCTTCGTTTGGTTGTTAAATCATTTAGAAATATGTGTGGCAAAAACAAGCAAAGCAGAGTTTTAAATAAGGTGTTTGTAGTCGGCACATGTGAAGTAGAGATTTCTCCCTGTGAAATTCTAGTGGCTGACATTCTTTGTGGCTTGGGGGGATCCCATTGCAGGATGACGATGACTACTCATCTTCGACGAGCTTACTTGGCCAGAAGAAGCCAGGGTACCATGCCCCCGTGGCGCTGCTCAATGATATTCCACAGTCAACAGAACAGGTGCCTTTTCTTTTATTAAACTATAGTTTAGCTAATCATTAGTGAATGTCTGAGTGTCTGTGGAAGTCCATCGATTTTAGAAACCAGTTTCTGGAATGCTTTGAGAAGGATTGATTTAGGAGAATTAGAAATAATTTCTTTTGTAAAAGTCGTTCTGTGTGGGAATGTGGACATACACATCGTGTCATTTTCATGTGCCACATTCTTTCACGTTAACTAACATTCACCCATCAGTGCGTCCGAATGTTTGGCATAGTAGTAGGCTGTGTTAACCGCTGTATGGGTTGCCCGACGGGCTGGGCTTTGGGGACCTGTCTACTAAAGGATATGTACCTGTTTGCAGTATGACCCATTTGCTGAGCACCGGCCTCCGAAGATCGCAGACCGGGAAGACGAATACAAAAAGCACAGGCGGACCATGATCATTTCCCCAGAGCGTCTTGATCCCTTTGCAGATGGTAATTCTTTCCAGCTTTTCTATACACGTTCAGAGCTTATTTGTATTGTCTTTAGCCCTTTGATTTTTTTTGGCATGCTTATGGATTTGCTTTTCTTTTTAAAGTCCCCCTTATTAGAGATTTGTAGAGATTTGGTTGAAGTCACAGATGCCATATTCTTCATCTTTATAATGCAAGTTTTCTTTCCAGGTAGAAGGACAAGAAAGTAATGAGCCAATGCCATAGAAACGCAAAGGGTTAAAGGTTTTTCTTTTACTTTTGTTTTGGGTACTCTTTCTATACGTTGAACAAATGTGCTTTTCTGCTCAAAATACTTTCAAATTATTGAAAGTTTTCATTCCAAAATCTAGAGTTTTAGGACTGTTAGTTTGGAGAAACTGTTTCTCACACTAGAGCTCTCCCCATATTGCTCTAAATGTAGCTCAGTAAATGCACCTCCTTTGCTCTGAGCATACTTTAAGTTAAAAGTGTGTATCCAAAGACTTTGCTATTCTCATAGTTGGAGTCTGTGTTGCTAATTGTAGCGTGCAAGTCGGCACCAGGGGTATAGTGAGGCTGATGGAAGCTTCCTCAGGTGAGTGAGCTTCACAGTCAGAACAAGGTGCCTGTTTCTTAAGAGTTGTATTCTGCTGCAGGTTTACAAGCTAGACTTTCAGCCTGCATGAATTAGTAGGGATATTCTTTTTTTTACTTGCATAATTGTAATTGATTTAAACATGTATGTCAGAATTCACAGGCCCATACTAACTGTCCTTAATTTCTTTCCTACAGCAGTACTGCTATATGCCAGTCCTGTCTGCATTCTTAAGGGTGCAGCTCAACACATCCTCTCTAGATTATGGTGAAAAAGTATCCCAAAGGAAGTCTTAGCAGAGCTAGTGTCAGAAAGAATGACACTGCCAATTGGGCATGATCGTCAGCATAGGAAATGTCTTAGTTTTATGATTTTTTTTTTTCCTGAATTTCAGTGCTGTACTTCTTGTATAGCTAATTATCACATTCTAAAGCATGATGTGCCTCTGTGAACCTTGTTATATACTCTTTGGGCTTCTTTAAGATATTTTGAAGTTTGCAGTGCAAATACTAAAACTTTAACCAAGAGACTGACGCATCTCTTTGTACATCACTTTTCGTCTGTTTTCATCATAATAATGTAGAAGTAATATATTAAAAGTTATATGTTTCCAGATGTAATTTATACTTTCTAAGAAATAAAAATGTTTCTGGGTCAACAATCTTTAAAAAGCATGAAGCCCTTTTTTAGTAATGTGACATCAGAGTATGATAATAGGTATGTTTTTAAAAATGAGATTTTCTAAAGTACAACTGTTTTAGAACACTGAAGAACTTACTAGTCATAGTTATTTGTAGTCAGGATTTTAACAGCTTGCAACAGGTAATGTTTTGCATATAAACATCTTTCCAAAGTGTTACTAATGGTAAAGAGATAATTTTCTAGGCTTCTATTCTGCTGCTTGAAGTCAGAACTGCTGATGGAGACAAAGGCACGAAAGTGTACGTATTCCGGACTAGCCACCCAGGACCCATCACTTCTGAAGACTCTAAGCTGTGCTGTCATTTTGCTTTTATATGCATTAAAGTATTTGTTTTAAACTGCTGTAGATATGTTTGTGTTCAAACAGGTTAAATTGATCAGCAAACTCAATAAAAAGTAAGATGTGTAATTATTAAAGTTTTCCATCAAAAATAAATTAAATGATTATCAAATAACATAATATTAGAGCAGGGAAGAGAAGTCAGTTGAACCTAATTTCCTTTTATTTATTGTGCTCTTGTCCTGTTGCTGTTCTTTTCTGCAGGAGGGAAGACCCCTGACCCTAAAATGAATGCCCGGACTTACATGGATGTAATGCGAGAACAGCATTTGACTAAGGAAGAGGTGTGTAAATCTGTCGTTCTGATGGTTGTGAAAGAATGGAAAGAAAGTTGAATTGAGAGACTTCTAAGAATTTGTTTCTTGGGCCGGGGATTTAGCTCAGTGGTTTGGTGGCCTGTCTTGCAAGCGTGAAGACCCGAGTTCAATCCCCGGCACCCTCCCCCAAAAGAATTTTTTTTCTTTTTGCTATTTGCTATGCAAGTAATATTTTAATAGTATTAATAAAATTAAGTCAAGGAAGAGCCTCTTTTCCAAATTCTGACTCCTCTCAAATAAAACTTCCCAGTCCTTTTCTAGCCCAGGACCCTTTGGATATTGTGACTTGTGTCTGTCTGACATGGGTGAGTTTTGAGGGAGTTCATGGTGTGCTCCCAAGGCTGCTGTGGTGGGAAGAGTTGAATGGTCACGCTGTTCTTTAAAGAATCTTTCAAAGGAAACGTTTTGATGTGGTTGGAAATTCTGAGTAAATCCTTTTGGCCAGCAGAGGTTATTTCTTTTTAAAAAGTTGTGTGTGTGTAAAACTAGAAGTACAGAAAAGAGTGAAACTAAGAAATGGGACCACCAGTAACACAGTAAATTGAGGAAAGTATAAAATAAGGCGTTACGTGGAAATGGTAATGACACAAAAACGTACTGGAAACATTTTTTCCTGGTGTTGGGATTGAACCCAGGTCCTCAGGCATACTAGGCAAGCTCTGTACCACTGAGCTTTGCACCCCTCTCTTGCAAGCATTCTAGTTATTTTATCATCAGGTGTGTGGTTTTCATTGTTTTTAATTTTATAGCATTTTTTGTTATTTTAGTCTGTGGGGTCCGAGATGTTTGCATACCTGGTACCTGTACATAGCACATGTACTTAATTCCATCCTCCATCCAGTGTCCCCCCTCGCTCCCATCTCCTGGCCCTCTTCCCCTTTGAGAGCAATCTGTCTCCCTGCTTTCTGTAATCCGTCTTGTGTTTTTCTCTTTATTTTTATTCTGGGTTTCTTATAAAAGAGAATGTGATATCTAAGCTTGTGGGAAGCATTTTAAAAGTAAATATTTTTGCTTTTTCATATGTTTTTCAGAGAGAAATTAGGCAACAGCTAGCAGAGAAAGCTAAAGCTGGAGAGCTGAAAGTCGTCAATGGCGCAGCAGCGTCTCAGCCTCCCTCAAAACGAAAGCGGCGCTGGGATCAGACTGCTGACCAGACTCCTGGTGCCACTCCCAAAAAGCTGTCCAGTTGGGACCAGGCAGAGGTGATTGCTTTTGATGTTTTATTGCTACTACATTTTTTTCTCCATGATGGAGTTATTACTGTGCTTGGCTTAAATGACAGAATATATTTTCTCACAGTATGGAGGCTCCACGTCCAAGGTCTGCATGCCTCTGGGCTGGCGTCAGGTTGCTGGATTTCCGTGATTGTGTCCTCGAGTGTCTGTTTCCGTTGTTTAGTCTCTTGTGAGGATACTGGCGATACCAGAATAGGCCCCATTTCAGGGCCGCATTTCACCCTCTCTCCTCCCCTTAGGCAGGTGAGCGTGGGGCTCCTCAGGATGGGTGGGGCAGTTCTGTCCTCACCGTGGACCTTGAGAAACCTGTGAGCTTGTGAACTTGCCGCCTTGTGAGGCTGAGAGTACGACTTAGTAGCCATCCTCGTTTTCTAGTGGATAACACAAGCTTCCTGTCACAGCTGGCAAATAGATATTAGGACACCGCACTCCTTCCCTGAATGATTTTACCCTCTCAGAGGAAACCTTTGTTTTTTAAAAAAGAAATTTATTGTGGCAAAATGTTAGTTACATAAATAACCTGGTTTAACCATTAAATGTACAGTTCATTGGCATTAATCACACTGTCAGTGTTGTGTGACTATGTGACCATCAGTCACTACTGCTCTTCAGAACTTTTCGTCACCCCGAAGAGGAACATGGCAGTCACTAAGCAGCATGCTGTTTTCCTCCCCCCGAGCGTGTCTACCCCATGTCTCTACCTGCTGTACCTCCTGAGCACTTCAGTGTTATTGATGATTTTGCTTCCTGTTTCCCCCAGAGTGGACAGCTCTTCTGTGTCCTCAGTGTGCCTGTGTCTGTTCTACTCTCCTCCTCCTCTCACATGGGAGCTGTTCACTGTCTTTAGAGAAAGGAAAAGCGGCGTGCAGCAGAACATCCCTTGATGCTCACATCCTCTTCCCGCTCCCACCCCGCCCGCTGTGTCTCTTTACGCCAGGAGATACTCGGCAGGTGTGTGCTGTCTGCTTACCTAGTCGTTGCTTTCCTTGTGCAGTGCCTTGAGGTCACTGGACTTTCTTGTTGCTTAGTCCAGAAGTCTGTTCTCTGCTCAGCCCTCCTGCTACTCTGGACTTCTTGTGTGTTCCTGGACGCCCTTTTCTTGCTTGGCCTCTGGCCTAAGGCTCTGTCCCTCTCCCTCCGGCTGCTGTTCCTCGCTCTTGTTTGTCCAGTCCTCTCCTTTTGCAGGGCTGGGCTTTGGAGTCCTCTGGTGCTCAGCCCTTGGAGTTCTCATCTGTGTGCACTCCCTCCCTAGGATCTCATTTCTCTCTGTGCCAACTGTGTAAGACAACTCCCACACTGTGAAATCCGCCCCCTCTGTTCCTCAGACTTGTCTGTTAGTCCTGACACACTGGCTTGGATGTTTATTAGCATTTCAAAGGCAGTTGTTTCTAGAATAAAGTTGTTTGGACTTAGTCCTCCCTTCCCCCATTAGCTGTTGGACTTGCCTTGCTAATATGGGTCATCCTTGCCTACTCTTCTCATCCCATCCCCTCTGCCAGCACTGGTCATTGGCATCACTTGTAAATATAATCAGGGTCTGTGTGACTTCTGTCTCTCCCACACCAGTCTAAATCATTATTACCTCTAGTCATTCATTGATGTGTGAGAGAAGGTCTGTTAGACTGTGCACTGTTTTCCTGCTCTCAGAAGTGAGCTGTGTTAACCCTAACACATCCCTGCTGCACATCTCAATTTGAGATTTGAGAACTCCCCATTCGATCCATATAAGAATTGGGTGTTGCTGACTGAGTATCGTTAATTACTAACTTCAATTCTGTGGCTGGCATTCAGTGCTGTTTTAAACTGAGATCACCTTCTCCGCTGATAATTGTTTAACTGTATTCTCACGATAACCATATATAATAGTTTATTAGTTGGGCATAGTGACATGTACCTATAATCCTAGCACTCAGGAGGCTGAGGCAGGAGGAGTGCCTTGAGTGAGGCCAGCCTGGGATAACTGCTGAGGTGAGGCACAGCCTGAGCTACATACATAGTGAGTCTCTGTTTCAAAAAACAAAAATCAGGCAATAGCAACAATAAAAGACTATCTTTCCTGTTAGAGCTATAGAAAGACCATGTTTTCTTTCATGCTGCCCATTTACCATAACTTTACCCTGGTTGTGGCTGTGGACTACCAGTGCATAGTAGGAAGGATTTATTCCCTCCTCTCTAATCCAGTAGGAGAGGCAAGTGCCACAATGAACTGTTTGAACAGTTTGTGCTCTTACCTAATCCATAATTTCCCAACCTTGAGTAATATAGTCTTAATACCCCCGATAGCAGGGTAGGGTTCTCGGGTCCATAGCAGTGATGGCGAAACTTTAAGATCTTTCAGTGATAACACAGCAGGCTGTGGCATGCAACCAGTGGTCTGTAAGAACATCCAACTTCAAAACAAATACGTAAAGTATGGTGAATCCTGCTTACTACCTAAGGGATATAGTGTCTAATTCTAAATTTTGATTTGCTTACACAAAGCCATCTGCTTTACAGTGATACTGTGTGTACCGTGGAGGTTCTTTTGTATTGCACACTAACGCCCTTTGTCAGTCACTTTCTAGTCTCTGCTCACACCCTGTGTACCTTGCACTTCCTTATGCCCGCCTTTAATGTTTTTTTCTACCAGATGGTCGGTATCACTTGGCACAGATGTGGTGATAAACACGAAGTTCTCTCAAGGGTTGAAATCCTGTGGTAGGAGGTGGAGGAAAGATAAATTGTCTGGACAATGCAAAGCATGCTTATTTATTGAACACACAATTGGACAGCTGTAAAAACTATTTCTAGAATGGTGGTGTATGTGTTGGAGCATCAGCCTCAGCAGTGCTGCTGTAGCTGTAGCTGGACATCTTTCACTGCGGGTCTAGATAGAAAAACCTTAACAGATAATAGTGGCATATCCAGGATTTATATGCACTTTTTAAAAAAAAACCTAGGACTGTTTTTTCACTTCTGTATTAAAACTTGTATCTTTGATTGTAAATATGTTTGCAAGAAAGTGCCTTTTAAGCAGAAGGGTAGTATAGGGACTAGAACTAAAAATTCATTTGTTTAATGTTTTTAACAAATTGTGTAGTTATTTTTCTTGCTGTGTGGGTGTATGAAATAATGTTTTCGGCTCTGCTTAGACCCCTGGGCATACCCCATCTTTAAGATGGGATGAGACTCCAGGTCGTGCAAAAGGAAGCGAAACTCCCGGAGCAACCCCCGGCTCAAAAATTTGGGATCCCACACCGAGTCACACACCTGCGGGAGCTGCTACTCCTGGCCGAGGCGACACACCTGGCCATGCGACCCCGGGCCATGGAGGCGCGACTTCCAGCGCTCGTAAAAACAGATGGGATGAGACCCCCAAAACCGAGAGAGGTACGTTGGGAGCCAGGATGCGTGTGTATCCAGCTGTTGGGGACAGCTGAGCAGATTATAGGCTTTCAGGTGTGTTTTATAAAGGATTTTAGAAGAAATTAGTTTGTAGATGGTAACCTTTTGTTTTCCATTGTGGTAAAACACATCAGGCGTAGCATTTTGCGCAGTGATTGTTTTGCCTGTACAATCCGGTGGCTTGGTCCACTCTTGGTGTTGTGCACCCATCGCCAGTGCTCACTTCCAGGACCTTTTCATTACCCCAGTGAGAGATTCTTTATGTGTAAACTACTCACTCTTCCCTTTCATTCTCCAGTAACCTTGTTTTCTACATTCGGTTGCTGAATTTGCCAAAGCTTTTGTCTTTTATATAGATGATTGCAAGCTGCTTCACAAACTTTTTACAGGGATAGCTGTGGCACAGTAAGATCGAATAGTAAAACCTTCTGTGTGACAGCTGCAGACTTGTGGCGCTGTGGAGAGTGCGGCAGTGTACTGGACGGGGCCGTGTCGGGTTGTCCGTGCAGAGTTTTTCTGTTTGTGCGTGGAAGTACGGAGTGCCTAGCTTTGCATAGAGATGTTATGATTGGGAAAAAGTAACTTCATTTTCCTGTTAACAATATGTGCATGTTTTTGTAGTTAGTAGAAAAGCAACACAAAAAATGGTACAAATGGGAACATAACAATTTTAAATGTGTTTGTTTTAAGAATAACCCTCTGAATATGTGAGGTTGGATGTGTAATGGAGAGTAAACAGTTGTTTTAACAGTGGTTAACACTGTGGTCTTTCTGCCCCTTTCCCTTTGAAGATACTCCCGGGCACGGAAGTGGATGGGCTGAGACTCCTCGAACAGATCGAGGTGGAGATTCAATTGGGGAGACACCGACTCCTGGAGCCAGTAAAAGAAAGTCCCGTTGGGATGAGACCCCGGCCAGTCAGATGGGTGGAAGCACTCCTGTTCTGACCCCTGGAAAGACACCCATTGGCACCCCAGCCATGAACATGGCCACCCCAACTCCAGGTAGGCGCACTCTCATTGCAGGGAATCATGTTTCCCTCTGGGATTTCTTCTCTGTTGTCTTCTGCATGCCATTAATGACAGCTTTTTAACAAGAATAAGAGAATGTAGAATTAGTCTTAGTTTGCATTTGTAAAATGAAACTGATTAAATATTAGGGTTGATCTTGTGTTCTGTCACAAGTCCTCATACATACCTTATACTGTAGATCGTTACAGACATTTGTTTTTTTTTGTAGGTCACATAATGAGTATGACTCCTGAACAGCTTCAGGCTTGGAGGTGGGAGAGAGAAATTGATGAGCGAAACCGCCCACTCTCCGATGAAGAATTGGATGCCATGTTCCCAGAAGGATACAAGGTAGTCACAGTGAATATCAGTGTGGTGATATTGACGATATGAATTTTCAGTTTTGTTGAAAAAATTGACTTACAAGTTTGCATTGGTCTTGCCCAGATTTACTAATGCCATTCCATACTTGTACGTATTTCCAAACGTGTTTCAGCTATTCCAGAGAATAATAAGAGATGAAATGAGTAGTGTGAAGCATCTTCTATTTTTTGAAAGTGAAAAATCTTGGACTTGTGGTAGTGTGTGGGCCATCCGTTGGGAGCTTCCCCATTAGCAGTGTGGGATAGCTTGCTTTTACCAGGGCCCTACATGTTCTAGGCAAGAGCCAGTGAACCACGTTCTCAGCCCTGAAGGGTGTTTGAATTGTGATTTTCTCAGGACCTGGCACTCTGGGGGTTTTTGCTGGTCCGAAGGTTCTCTGGTTATGTAGCTAGTGTTACAACCAAGACTGGAACCTATCATCGACCTGGTCTTTCCAGTGATTACTGCTTTTTTATAGTTCACAGTGTGTGCCTATCCCCTCTCCTGTGAAGTGTACGCTAGTGTTTGTTTCACATGTGATTATGTGCTTTAAAACTGTGAACCTCGACGCGATGTTATGGGTAGACAGCCTGTTGTCAGCTGACTGAGTATCTTCAGTTGTAGTCACTGATTTCTTTAGTATCAGTAGGAAGAACAGTTAGTTCTTTCTAGTGAATTCTACTGATGAGTAAAATTTTGAAAAGTAAATGTTGAAAACTGTAGACTTGTATCTTAATGCACAGTGGTGCGGCTGTCATTGACATTGATTTCATCGGCCTCCCAGAGCATAAATTCCAGTTTATTCAGAATTCTTAGTCCATGGTCCATGCTGACACATACATGGACTAGCAGCACAGAAAAGGATAAAAGAGCACAGAGCATCAATGTATATTTAATACAGTGGAATCTTAAATCTAGGTGGGGGATTTAGCTCAGTGGTGCCGCCGGCCTCCCAAGCACAAGGTGTCCCATGTTCCATCCCTGGTATCAAAACAAACAAAACAAACCTTAAATCTAGTCATTTTTTTAGACCTGACAGTTCAGGCTCATTGGAGAAGACCTATTTAGGCTTATTGACCTGCCCAAGAAGTTGTATTTTTAAAAAAGCCTTAGAAAGTCTCCTACCAACTTTTAAACAAATTCTTTATTGTTTTATTTGTTTGTTTGTTTGGTTGTTAGGCCACATTTTTATAAAAATTTCTCATTTTGCAAAAAATTTAGGTGGTGTGTTTTATAAGCCTTTTTTGGTAAATATCTTGGTTTTAGTGTATGCATTTATCTCTTGTCTAGAATTCCCGACTTGCATACAGATTTGTCTTTGTTGTGCAGTATCTTATGTCAGCGCTTCAATTTACTACTAAAATATGTAGCCTTTACACATTATTCGCACCATGTAAGTTTATTTCTGTTTATATGAATACTTATGTTTTTTTTTTCTCTAATGGAACTGTTTTGTCACATTGGGTTGCCAGTATGTTGGTAGAGATTGTTTGAAGATGATCAGAATTTTATAGGCCTGCCTCATGTATGTTCTTATTTCCCTACACTCCTTACATACTTACTTCAGTGCTAATTAAATATTTTAAACTTCTGATTAAGGTAGAACAGTAGGATAGGTATTTTTTCTTCAGGTAGTTAAAACATTCCCTAGATGATAAGCTGTAAACTGTTTGGAGTGTAAATACTATTCTCTGTGGTGTTCGCAGTTTTTTGTTTGTTTGTTTGTTTTTTTAGGCAGGGTCTCACTATGTAGTTGAGACTGACCTGGCACTCACTATGTACCCAAACTAGTCTCGAACTCACAGCAATCCTCCTGCCTCAGCCTCCTGAGTGCTGGGATTACAGGCGTGTGCCACCATGCCTGGCTGTTCTCAGTTTATAAAGTCGAAATGCTAACCTGTGTCTCACCTCTGTTAGGTACTTCCACCTCCAGCTGGTTATGTCCCCATTCGAACCCCGGCCCGGAAGCTGACAGCAACTCCAACACCATTAGGTGGAATGACTGGTTTCCACATGCAGACAGAAGATAGAACCATGAAAAGTGTCAATGACCAGCCCTCTGGAAATCTTCCATTTTTAAAACCTGATGATATTCAGTACTTTGACAAACTTTTGGTGAGTGATAATAGGAAAAATGAATTACTACACTTTGAGAATTAAAATTACACATCTTTACATACCTTTAAATGTTTTTTACGGTAGGTTGATGTTGATGAATCAACACTTAGTCCAGAAGAGCAAAAAGAGAGGAAAATAATGAAGCTGCTTTTAAAAATTAAGAACGGAACACCTCCGATGAGAAAAGCAAGTATCAGCTTAAGTCATTATGTTGGTTATATTTACATTTGGAAATTTTCAGTTCTCTTAGTCTTTATCAGGGGCATGGAATCAGAGAAAGATAAGGTAGTATGAAGGTTAGTTGACTTTATCAAAGAATTTTGTACTACTAAGGATACAGGAAAAGAAAACTCTCCTGTTTGTTGTTAAAGCCAGTGTGTGTAAGGCGCGAAAGTATGAGAAATTGTTAGCAGTGTGTGTGGTGTAAAGCCGGCCGGTCCTGTGAGGGATGTTAGATGTATCGGCCTGTCAGGTGTGCTCAGTTGGTCATGTAGTTCCAACTCTGAGGTCCTCGTGCTGCTCTGAAGTATCTGCCTAGGAGTACACCGAAATGTGAAGTTACCCAGAGTCTTCCTGGAGAAATCTGCTCTTTCTCAAATGCTTGGTTGCCAAGAATTTACTCCTTTTCCTTTTTTTCCCAAGGCTGCATTGCGCCAGATCACTGATAAAGCGAGGGAGTTTGGAGCTGGCCCTCTGTTTAATCAGATTCTTCCCCTGCTGATGTCTCCTACGCTTGAGGACCAGGAGCGCCATTTGCTCGTGAAAGTCATTGATAGGATATTGTACAAACTGGATGACTTAGTCCGGCCGTATGTGCACAAGGTTTGTTGTTGTCAAGTATTTTTTGTTTGTTTTTTATCTTTTCTCCAGTGTTGTCTCTTATGGTTTTAGTTTTTAATATAGAAGGAACTTATGAATTTGATTTTTTGACCAGTTTCTGTATCCTGGGAATTTAATTCTTTTAAAAGAGCATATTTTGTACATTCACATTAGAAAGGAAAGTTCACTCTTTCAGTTCACTGCAAGGTGCTCCGGGACCCAGGGTTAGGTTTGCTGTCCACAGATGCAAACATGGCCTGTGCAGATGCAGGTTTATGTAGGTGTGACCTTTTGGCACTCTAACTGCAATGAGTTCATATATTTTGTTTTCATGGACATTGGGATGAGAGTAGGAACTGTCTTGGTAATAGCAATTGTAAATTGTTTTATCCTTTCTTTGCTGAGGATTGAACCTTGGGCCTCACAAATGCTAGGCAAGTAGGCAAGTCCCCTTTTAAAATTATATTTTGAGGGTTGGGGATTTAGCTCAGTGGTGTCCCTGCCTCACTCACAAGCACAAGGACCCGAGTTTGATCCCTGGTACCAGGAAAAAAAAAAAAAAACAAAAAATAAAATTGTATTTTGAGACAAGGCCTTACCAAGTTGAAAGTGCAGGCCTAGAGATTACAATTCTCAGTTTGTCCAGTAGCTGGGACTGCAGGTATGTACCACCGTGCCTGTTTTCTGTGTTAAAAGTGCTAAATATTTGTTAGTCTATATGGTTAACAGTTCACTCAAAATTCCATCTGTATCAGGGTTGTGACATTATGTAATTGAAAATTTTAATTTCTCCCTTGATTCACAAGAGTCCTGGTAACTTTACATTTCTCTTGTTTTTTTTTTTTTTGCCTGAGTGTGACATCATTAACTGATGTGAAAGATTACCTGCTGCTCTTTTTTTGTTTGTTTTTATTTCAGATTCTTGTGGTCATTGAACCACTGTTGATTGATGAAGATTACTATGCCAGAGTGGAAGGCCGAGAGATCATTTCTAATTTAGCAAAGGTATTTACATGCAGTTTCTAGGGAAGAGAGATTGCATCTGTTGATGGGATTATTTGCGTATAGAAAGTCATGGCCGAAATTCGATGTTACGAGCTTTTTTTCTTTTCCCCTTAGGCTGCTGGTCTGGCTACCATGATCTCTACCATGAGACCTGACATAGACAACATGGACGAGTATGTCCGTAACACGACAGCGCGAGCCTTCGCTGTTGTAGCCTCTGCCCTCGGCATTCCTTCTTTATTGCCATTCTTAAAAGCTGTGTGCAAAAGCAAGAAGTCTTGGCAAGCCAGACACACGGGTATTAAGATTGTACAGCAGATAGCTATTCTCATGGGCTGTGCCATCTTGCCACATCTCAGAAGCTTAGTTGAAATCATTGAGCATGGTGAGTTGTCTTTTCTAGGACAGTTGTCCTGAAATTTGGGCTGTGGAATTAGGGAGATAGTGGATGGGCTTAACTACATAGACACCTTAAGTTTTTATAATAGGATTTGTGAAATTGCTAGCAGACTGGCTTATACTGTTTTTTGACCAGTTTTGCCTTTTGTGCAGATTCTGCAGTCTGCCTGAATGGTTAGGTGTACCAACTGGAATCTGGTTGAGACGAGGTAGTGTTGGTGCTAGATAAAGCCTGTGTTTGGCTTCGTAGGTCTTGTGGATGAGCAGCAGAAGGTTCGAACCATCAGCGCGCTGGCCATTGCTGCCTTGGCTGAAGCGGCGACTCCGTATGGAATCGAGTCTTTTGATTCTGTACTGAAGCCTCTGTGGAAGGGGATCCGCCAGCACAGAGGGAAGGTGAGACGCCAGTTCAGTGCCTGGCTCGAATTTCTACTCCCTAGCGTTAAGGTAGCACAAACCTAATTTTCTAATTTTTTTTTTTTAATTGGAAAATAGGGTTTGGCTGCTTTCTTAAAGGCTATTGGGTATCTTATCCCTCTCATGGATGCAGAATATGCCAACTACTATACCAGAGAAGTGATGTTAATCCTTATTCGAGAATTCCAGTCTCCTGATGAAGAAATGAAGAAAATCGTGCTGAAGGTAAAGTTTTCCATATTGGTTACCTCAACTGGTTTTGTTTCATGATAAAATTTCATTTTAAAAATTTCATTATCATTGGTATGTCATATCGGTACTGTTTGATTTCTTGTTTTTTTTTTTTTGTTTTGTTTTTTGTACCCCGGATTGAACTCTGGACCTTGTGCTTGCAAGGCAGGTGGTGGCACCACTGAGCTAAATCCTTAGCCCTTGATTTCTTGTTTTTGGCCTTTAGGTGGTAAAACAGTGTTGTGGAACAGATGGTGTAGAAGCAAACTACATTAAAACAGAGATTCTTCCCCCTTTCTTTAAACACTTCTGGCAGCACAGAATGGCTTTGGATAGAAGAAATTACCGACAGGTAAGCTTTTAGTTGTTAAAAAATGTTTTTAGATTATTTTCACTAACTTTTCTTCCATTGTTTCACAGTTTGTATGTGTTTAATTGTGAAAGGGATTAGATTTTCGTCATCCAGTTAACTTCCATTTTGATTTTGCATATAGAGTACTCAACTGGGAATGGATTTTTTTTTTTTGTACCGGGGATCAAACTTGGGTCCTTGCTCTTGCGAGGCAGATGGCCAGAACCACTGAGCTAAATCTCCGGCCCTTTATTTTATTTTTTGATGGCACTGGGCAGTGAGCCCAGGATGGTGAGCAAGTGTTCTGTCAATGACCTGCACCCCCAGCCTTCTAAAAATTTGTTTATTGTTAGATGGGGTCCCACTGAGTTGCCTAGGCTGGGCTCTGCCTTGCCACCCTCTTGCACATGATGCTGAGTAGCAGGGCTGCAGGTTGGCACTGCTGTGCCCTTCAGAGTTTGCACCTTTGTCAGTTCAGTGTCTGTCAGCGTGTCCTAGGCTCATTTAAATTTTCTAGTCACTTTTTCTTGAGATTTACTAATAAATGATCTTAGCCTGTTTACTAGCCAAGTAGTACGTTTAGAATATCAGGTTTTTGTGATGTTTCTTAATTTCTTTGGGGAAGCAATAGATTTAAAGGTCTTTTGTTTTGCCCTTGTAGTTAGTTGATACCACCGTGGAGTTAGCAAACAAAGTAGGTGCGGCAGAAATCATATCCAGGATTGTGGATGATCTGAAAGATGAAGCCGAGCAGTACCGGAAAATGGTGATGGAAACAATTGAGAAAATTATGGGCAACCTGGGAGCAGCTGATATTGATCACAAACTTGAAGAACAGCTGATTGATGGTATTCTTTATGCTTTCCAAGAACAGACTACAGAGGTAATTAGGGCATAATCCCATGACTTTTTATCTGTAGAAAAACCTACAATTTTTCAAGTAAATTTCCCTAAAAAGTAATTAAGTTTGGAATAATTTTAAAAACATGTACATTCCCATTTGTTTATCAAGTGTTCTTTTGCCCCACATTTTGGATTTTATGTTTTAAAAAAATTGTTTCACTTGTCAGTTGCAAAGAAACAGTTCTGGTTCTTGATTTTTTTTTTTTTTTTTTTTTTTTTTTT